AGAGAGAGAGAGAGAGAGAGAGAGAGAGAGAGAGAGAGAGAGAAAGAGCTGACTACGCTACCGAGATTACGTGACAGGAATTAGAATGATGATGCTGTTCGTCAGAACCCTTTGGCTACGACGCTCCCTGACTATTGTCGCTCCTCCCGTCTTCGAGGGACAGCGGCAAAAACAGTGAGGATGGCTATCGGCATTTAATGCTAAAACGTCGATCCCACAAGCGGCGTGATATGCTATTGCGAATGGTAACAATTAATCGCGAGCGACGATTAACACTAGAAGGTACACAGCGTTCCTTCCGTCACTCGGAGGAATCGTCTTTTTTTCTTTTTTCACATGTATATCTCTAATTGCATTACAAAGTATTATAATTAAATTTTTCATGTCAGCGACATAGAAGCGGACAAAGTACCTTTCCTCATCCCATCTGTTCGTCACGCGAGAGTTAAGATTTTGTGCGGGAAAAGAAAAGCGGAGGGAGAAAGAGAAGTAAGATTTTTATCGCACGATTATGCATTTGGACAAATTTACCCGAATGTCGCCGTTTTAATGAACAAAAATTCGAATCCTTCTAGTGTTAACGGAATAAATGGAGCGAACGTGTTATGCAGCGGAAGTTTTGCGTCGAGTTTGGAGCTTCTTTGTTTTTTAATCACTGTGCAAACAAAAAATCGCCACGTCATCGAGCAGACAAACGAGTGTGTATGTATGTGTATGATGGGCACATACCGCGTATTCGACATTCTGCCAGCGGAGCTCCTCGACGGAGTAGCGGCACGGTAATTAAATTAATAATTACCACAAGCTTCTAAGAACATTCTTGTAGCGATAACACAGTCTGGGGAAACATTTGGGAAAATAGTCGAGTTAATGCACAAGTACGTGTGTTGGATGCGTGAGAGGAGGTGGGATACGCGCTATAATTTATTCCCGCGTTGAGAGTAACGTCTTAACATCAATTGATATCGGCGAAGAGAAAGACACGCGTGGTAGCCCAAGGGTTGAGGCCCGAAATCTTGTGACAAATCTTGTACAAATGAAACAGCCGTCGTAATATGGGCCTATTACGCGTTTATACGTACGCTCATCACTCAACGGTTACAGAAACTACTTGCATGTTAATGGCTCAGTATATACGCTCAATGTGGCGCAAAGGAGGACCGTTTTGTCGTAGTGAGAATCGTGATGCCACCACTAATCCCCTGCCGACTGATTGATTATTTGTCTGACTTATTAAACGAGTAATGGGGTGGCGGGTTGGGGGATTGCAGTTGCGAGGGATTGAAACACTTCGGCCACTCGAATCGTACCGCTCACTTTTTTTGCTTAATATGTGGTACGTTTATTGTACCACGGGCTGGTAAAGTGAAATCGTGGAACTGGCTTCGAATAATAGTAGTATAACTCTCCTGAAATGATAGATATTCGTTTGCTGTAGCATCGGTCTTACAATTGGATCTCTTTGCGCGTCGTCGAGAGCGCTCGCGATTCTCGCGAGTCGAATGAATCGTCGCAACAAAATCTTGCGGAGCGAACCGTTCAAAAAGATGCAAAGTCGCCGACCGAGGAGGTCGAGATTTCGCCAGCTTGGCAAACGGGCGTTCTCGATTTTACAGCTCGACGCGAACTTGACGCGGCGATATTGTGCCTGTGCCAAAAAATCGCAGCAGCAAAACACCGAGCTGCCAAATATCTTTGTATGGCCGCGACGATTTGTATTTTTGATCGAGGTGACAGGCGTGGTGGATATTCCGCGAGTCGTTTCCCAACACGTCGCGACTGGCGATGACTTTGGTCGCTTGAACGGCGTTCGAATTTCGACCTTTCGAATCTTTCCAACTTTCTCGCGACCGATTGCGTAACTCTACCTTGTTCATATCGTTTGAAAACATTTTTACGCCGGTCGAAGAAGAAGAAGAAGAAGAAGTAACGCGCGTCCTCGACACGGCTAGAGAAGTAAAAGATGTTTTCGCCAGTAGAGACGTTGAGTACTTTGTGGCGGAGGGAGGGGATGAAAAATTGCCAAAATATCCGAACTATTCTACTAGTAAAAAAATAGACGGCTATATGACTTTCGAAGGCTCACGTATCACGCGAAAATGAACGAGATACGAAAAATACGTGTTTCTCGCAAAACCCAGTCTGTATTCAAACTGTAATTCAATAATAAACGTTAAGTATGTGCTAGAAGGAAGATACATTGCGCGTTCCAGACTACTATATATCGTCGTATTTGACATTTCGATGCGCAGAACGTCAAGTTACCAAGAATTTCGTAATATCTGAAATAAGGCTATGTAATGGATAAGATTATGTAAGCTGTTTTGATCTCTCCCCGCGACACTAATATGTCTCTCTGATACTTATAGTAGTCTAGACCACGCTAAACGTTTCTGCATTTGCGACTACGAGATTTGTCTTTTCGAGACAAAGTGACGGTAGTCGCAAATGCGATTCGCTGGCTACAAGTTTTGTCAACAAGAAATGTTCTCCGTTTAATTTTGAGAACGCGTTTAATCTTTCAGCACTCGCTCTGTCCAGAATTCGACATTCTTGCGCATTAGATAGCATTCGTAGCCAGCGATCCGTCAGCGATCGATGCCACTTTGTGAATCGGACGAATCGATCGAAGAGTTTCGACTCGGAATTCGCGACTGTGATTGGTCGACTCGCTTGGCGCCTCCACCTTGCCGCGCTACGTGATGCAGCGCCACTGTACGCGAAGTTGTAACGGTCGCGAAACGTTCCTACGTTTCGCGAGGTTGTCGTCGTTGTTGCACAAACGGGGTAAGAGTCACGGCCTGAATCGGCGAAAATGGAAAATCGACGGACATGGCATCGGTCGCTGGCGCAGAACGAACGGCACCGCGTTGCTCGCGAAAGGATGGCAAACAGAGTCACACGTACCGAAGGGCCTGATGGGATGTCGGCTCCACAGATAGCTACGCTTAATCGGACTGAGGTAGCTGTCCCTCAAGTAAAACGGCGTACGGTACTGAGCGTAGCTCGGTATGTAAGGCGCGTAGCTCGGGTACCACCACGGGTCCCTGGTGAACGCACTGATAGGCGCCATTGGTGACGGCTCCAGGAGATCGAAAAGCGGCTTCTTACGGAGAAAGACGGACGAATACGGCCACAAGAAGTCGTCGCCCACGAGATTACCTGCACGAAACGGTTATGATTCGAATCGATCACGGACTGGCGGCGGTCGTCGGCGGTCGGTCGGCGGACGAGCCGAGGGAGCGGTGAGTATTGTTTATAAATATATACTAATTACGTAAGTGGAGGGGAGAGAGGGAGGGGGCCGCGTGTACACGCCGAAACTTGGCCTTGGACCTCAGCACGCGAAATATTATTAGCATTGTTTAGCGGAGATGCTATCTTTACGAGATACCCCGAGTGACTTCGTCACTGCAATTTCAAGGTTCAATTGCGCTTAAATGAGGCAAGCGTAAATATTGGCAAGACGAATACTTTACGCGCGAGTGTTATCGTATGTTAGAATCGAAGAAGAACCTTTTCTCACCGTAAATGTCGAACAATCGTTTCGTACTGAGCGGCGGACTTAAGTGGCGAGCCAGAAGCGGGTATTTGCTCGGGTAGAGTCTGTCGATGTCCGCCAAACGCTTCAGATGGTCAGTCCAAGCCTTCTCAGCGTCGAATGTTTTCGCTGTATCGCGTCGTATCGCCGGAAATGAAAGCAGAAACACGGCGATTTATTTTGCTGCGCTGTTTATATTTCACCTTGACGAACACTTCTCGCGATTGATCCGCGTACCAGAGAGAGAGCTCACGTACAAATTTTCCGATAACTTTATTTGTCACGGTTCGTCCGGGAATATAGTACACGTAATCGATATATTTATACAACGTCGAGAAGACGTCCGGGTGGTCTTGGCTTTTAGCATGCAAACATTTTGCGCAAATATCTGACGTATCGTTGAATCGATTTCGTGGATCGCGCGAGGAGTGTTTCTGGCAGTTTCGTCGTTACGTCTGCCTGATAAATGCTATATGAGCGCACAGAGGAGAAAGAGAACCGACTTCACCTCAACTTTTGCGAATAATGGGAAATTTTTCCGTCAAAAGTGTTTTTTTTACATTTTTCACAAGACAAATTTATTTAAGCGATGCCTTTGAATTGCTGATATGGGATCTGTAATTACAACACATATCGTATTAACGTCGACGTTCTCTTTCAATTTAAAAGGACCGGTCCTTTTGGTATGAAATGATGCAATGTACTTGATGACAAAATGAAGTCTTTCATATATCAGCCTTATTTAACCAATAGAAAGATATGCGATCGGTCTTTTCGACGAGAAATTCGATGTCAACTTTATTTATCGTTTAACTAATAACTTGCAACAGATTGGCCGAATCGTTTTTACCGTATGGCCCAAAGTATGCCTAATTGAACTTTGCTTGCGCTCCATTTTCTCTTTTTTTTTTTTAGTATTTTAGCGCATAGGCATCTTTCATCATTTTTACAGTGTATTTGTTTTTGTGATAACGGCCGTTTCACATACACACACACACACACGCACACACACATACACGCACACAGATACACGCACACACGCGCGCATTTACACACATATATAGATCATGCTCGAGATGCAGCGTGCGTCGAGTTCGATGCAAAGTTGAAACACAGGCGTGTAGTAGGCGGGGAAAGAGTTACTTGGCAAAATATTTCTACGAATTATTCCTATTTTTACGTGATTAGATACGCTAGCAACAATCACCGCAAACAATATCTCCTTTCGAGATACAATTGATGCATGGCTCGTGCCGCAATTCGATCTTGCGTTATACCGATAGACTAGACTAGAGTCATTGCACACAAATTTATATCGTTTATAATTACAAATCACAACTCGCTTCGTTCAAGCGAGTTAAGCGCTACATTATAGGGTCCTGTCCCTCGTTTCTCATATCCTTATAAGCCGTGCGTTTCTACTACAAGTATCACTTCTTTCTTTATACATCATGACTTCACTAACGAAAGCTGGCGAGCTCGTGCAGCTACGCGCGAGTCCGCGTGCGAGAAAAAAATCAGCGCTATCATAAAAACGAAAGTCAAGTAGCACGGTGTCACGTAAGATTGAAAAAAAAGCATACTAACCTGATGGAAAAAAGCTGCCTCAAAAAGTCGCTGATGGAAAAAAGCTGCGGCGATTCGTGTCGCAAAAAGAAAAGAAAACTCGACTGGATAATGTCGGATTTCGACCAAAAAAGAAAAAGTCGAAAAAGGCGGTCGGCAGTGCTAGGTTGCAGCGCGACTCGTAGTTGACTACGGCTTACCAATGTTTTCTCTTTACGTGAATACTAATTATGCGCGATCGGTGCGATCGCAAGCTTATTGAAGCTCGTTGCTAGCGATAACAAGATCGATCTTGTAAAGCTATCAATTTAAAACAATATCGCCAAAAACATCAGCTCCTAGCACGTAGCGCATACCATTTCGATTTTCTGATAGAAAAATGAAATTTTGCCGGGAAAATTAGGTAAACTAGCACGATTTAATGTCGTTAATCATCACAGTTTGGTACGTACTAAATTTCAGGTGCGTGTACAATCGTCGTCCGATGTGAGAATTATATACAACGTTTGGCGATCCAGCGTATACGTTGCGACGATCCGTATAATCGTCCGTGTGATCGTCACAAATTAGCAGTCGTTAATTAATGCAATGTCTCGAAAGAATTACATTGGGCGGAGATGGCTCACTTAAAAGCTAGAATCGGGGATTTGAGAGGATTGGGGATCGAATTAACGGAAAGAAAAAGTACATGCCATATCCTGAAAAAGATAGAAATTTCTGGATTTGGTTGTATAATTAATTGCACGTTAATCTGTCTATTGTTAGTAGATACTCGGTACGCGTGCATGTATTATTGCCGATTAGAGCGTGTATTAAAAAGAACTTTCGATTTTTTCTTTCGTCGCCCTGAACCTCCCTCGTGATTTAACTCGAATCTGAGAATAATCTATATGAAAATAATAATATCTTTGTAATCGTTAACGATGACTATATATACAAGTATAAAAGGCATTTTTTCGCGAACCGTACTGGGATGCAAATGTGCAAATCAAACTATTCACTCGTCTCGAAGAAATCAAAGCGGAGGGAGACGGTCGACGACGGTCGTGTCTGAAAAATCGGAAGTACGAATTAGAACGCGTAAGCGTAGTTTTCGAGAGAAAATTTCCAGCTTTTTCAAGTTTTGGCGGCCATCTTCCGTCTCAATTTATTATCTTTTCTTCGTTTTAGAGTTTTGTGTGAAAAGGAGGTTCTTTTTGCACGTTTTCTTCTCTTTCTTTCGCAGGCTCTTGCCGCCTGATCGCTCGCATACGCACGATATGCATGCCAAAAATTTTTTTTCCGGCGCAGAACTACCACACGTTCATCATACATTCCGTGCAGTCCAACTTTTGCATTCTCATGATTACTTTCTAATTTGTTATACGGGCTTGCGTACAATGCTGCCTAATGTGTCTATCGACGATCGGAAAAGCGAGTTTGCCACATTATCCCATATTCGATTTCGCCTTTTTAAATCTCCCTTTCGGCTTAAATTTTGTTTTTCGCAATCAAGCCGCTGCCTCCACTTCAGCTGCAAGAGTTAAGGATTTCTGAATAATGCGTGGTCGCGTCCTGTTCCCGTCACGTATGACGAAACACATTACAGATATATCGCCTAGATTATTTACGCAATAATCACATCTGATACACGAGTTTAAAACTTATAATTTTCCTTCTTCTTTCTAGCAATTTCTCTTAAAGAAAAAATTTCTATTCTTTGAAATAAAAATGACAAAGCTCGAGTTGAAATTTTGTTTCTACATTAACCTTGCAAGATTCGTCGAAAGATCAATGAAAAATATTTTTATTTTATCTGCAGTTAATTTCAGCTCAATTTTAATAAGCAAAGTATTAATCATACAACTTACTCGACGGTGGATAGTGCGATAAGCAAATATTAAATAATCTCATAAAGATTAATGACTAAATAAGTACATCAAACAATGAACATTCTTTAATTCATAATCTTTTTCATTTTTTGTTATTGGTGTTTGTGTGAAATCTCGATAAGATTTGGAAATTTAGAAGGTGGAGAAAAGAAAGAACTATATGGACAAAGATAGCACTAGGCTCACACAGCAATAATGCTGTGAATTTTAATTTTGATTTAATATATGACGTATCTCAGCAAATACTTATTATAATATTATATCTCGATATTTTTGAGATTCTCGATTTTCCATTGACTCTTAAAGTTCAACGGAATTTGCAAGGCCAATGTAAGATCAAATTTTCGATTCGGGAGAACATACATCTCTTAACCGGATCATTTTTGAATTAGAGACTGTATCAGAGACTGTATCAGAGGTAAATAGAGTATCGAGTAAGTAAATGTAATTAAAGAGGGAAAACAAGGAAATATCAAATGATATAGTGCTTTCTCATCGTGCAGAAACGAGAAAACGAATATTATCATTGTTCTTTTTATGTATTATACAATTGCAAAAGTTTTGTCACTTAATAAATAACGAATTGACTCATTTTTTCTGATTAACAGGTTAAATAGTTTGATGTATTAATCATTAAGCAAATTGAACGTATTTATGATAATAAATTTATTAGCGCGTATTTCATTATATAACATTGTTAAACTGGAAAAAAAGTATGAAAAATGTACAAAGTATATTTGTAACGTGATAAGTACGCGTCACAAAAAATTCGATTGCAGTGTCGTCAACTCGTCTCTTTGAATTTCGCGCGCAAAAGCATAATAAAGCTTTTCTCTCTCTCTCCCTCTCTCTCTCTCTCTCTCTCTCTCTCTCTCTCTCTCTCTCTCTCTCTCTCTCGCATTCTTGTGAGTCTCTCAAATTTTCAATTTTTCGATTCTCGGTCGTATCGCCGGTATCTAATCTGGATGGCTTTGGCTCTTTTCACGACAAATTTACTTCTGTCAAAAGTCATGGGATTTTTCGACGATCGTCTTAATACATCGAAAAGAAGGGAAGATTGTGAGGGTTGGGGCTTTAGGATAGGCGATAGGTATATAGATATAAGCCTGTCTCACATGTTATAAAAAAGCGTCTAACATTCTCAAAGTAATAAGTTACGATGTGTTATATTGTGAAGTGTAAACTGACATGTATACGTTTACTTTATTGTTGCGTTTAAAATTTTTATATAAAGTATTGGTAATTTATATACAGAGTTTACGCAGTGCTTTAAAATTATTCAAAAATTTTCACTGCAAATTGTGTGTGGCGAATGCCAATTGCTATTTTCTCAACACATGTTTCGCAAAACTGTTACTTTCAGTTTCTATGTTAACCTCTTCAGTGTTCACAAAATCAATGGTTGTAAAATCGCAAAAAAAAAAATTGTCAAAATTCGGTTATTCTGTAAAAATGAAAGACTGTTTTAAATAGACAACGACAATCGCTGTGATGGGAACGAATATTCATCGAATATTAAAAGGATGTCGGAATGCTGTTTTACCAGCATTTTTTGAACAAAGTACACTCGTTTATGGCTGCATAGATCATCTATCATAAATCTTTTTGAACGTTTATAATACAAACACTAATAGAGTCCGGGCTAGTTAAGTTTATACCACACAAAAATGAAAAATTATGTTTCTTTCCGCTTATGACTTCGCTAGCCAGCACAACTCAACGCGTGATATCCAATGAGCGTATTGTTTTCCCGGAAGGAGCTGTACGTTCATTGGATATTATCCGTCGCACATTATGCTAACTGCGAGAGTAGAACCCAGACACACAGAAAAACTTAAGCAGTAAGCAAATTGACTGATCACAGTCGATAATTCTTCTTACGGTCCAAGAATCAGTGACTATTATTGGTCAATTTGCTTACGTCTTACTGCTTAAGTTTTTCTGCGTGTCTGGGCTCTAACTCTGTTTCAATACAGCGTACAGAGCTACCATTTGAAAAGAACATTTGCTTTAGATAAAAGTTCTGCAGGTTGCGCGGGCACAAGAGGCAACCCAGGCTACAAAACTTGCATTGTACTACTCAGTTTTCAGAATTTAAGTTAGAAGTATAGTATAAAAGAATAGTTTATTTGTTTGAAAATTAAATGATAATATGTGCATGAGATATCGATATACTAAGAGATAAAATAGAGCAGTATAGCAGTATTCCGCCTGTCATTAGAGGCGATGTCGATGCTATGCTATACTCACGTACGTTATAAATCTCACTTGGCGCATTTATTCGACATATGAAGTACTTGAGTTTATTGAGAACATTAGTCAGTCAGTCATTCAGGTATGATATTTACTTAATTTAATAATGTTAAAAGACAGAGGCATCTCGTATGACGCGTGAGTTTTTCTCTTTTTTTTTTTAATAATAAGTGGTATCAGAGAAGCACGTTCTGATATATTACCTATTTATAAGCTTATTGAATCTTATTTACAAGCTTATCGAATCGTAACCAACAGATGTTCTTCCCTGCAGATGAGAGTGCATGCCTGTCAGAGTTTGAAACTCCGACATCCCCTTAAGACGTTGAATAATCTTTCACTTGCGCAACTACGGGCAAAAATTCACGTATGTAGTAGTGTGATGTGTCGTGTATTATCTGTAAGCGCAGGAACACATTATAAAGCGGGATTATCGGGCGTTATATTAATTGATCGTCTTTCGTAAGCAATGACGTCGTGCTCGGGAAGTGAGGACGATTCGCTCTTTGGTCTCCCATTTACGAGAGATCTGTTGGCGTCTAAGGTCACTCAGATCGATGATGCGATTCAGTATGAGCCACTTGTTGGGCCTAGCGCCTGGAAAGAAATCAGAATCTCTCTCAGACGATAACGAACGACGGCGACGACGACGACGACGACGACGAATTGACAAACAATACCCCATATCGATGACAGATAGTTTTATCGATGACAAGTACGACGTACTGGGAAATGCTTTCTTTCTAGAGACGAGTCACAAGACGACATCTCAAACACGACATGACACATGATCCGATCCGTGACCGATGAACGATGGTGATCGATGAGCGATGATCCGTTACACCTGAATGCTTGGTTCGTCGTTAGGGATGGTCGTTACACGTAGTTACTGTATCGAGCAACTGGTCGAGATAATACTTAGTAAAAATTAGCTGATTAATCGGAGTCATTGGTAGCACGCGATGTGTAGAAATGAGGAAAGTGCTTTCACGTTAGAACGTACGTAGGCAGGACGAGCTAAAGAAAACGTGCTATTTCGGCTATTATGGATTGATTTGTGCGACAATTGTCGAAACGGCTATATTTATCAGTCATACGTTTTCCTCTCGAAGACAAGGTGACCAGTATATTACGCACGAATCAGACGATCACAAGACAAACAGGGCGGGAAGTTTTCTTCAGCTCACCCTGCAGAACGAATAATGAAAATATATACAATTCTGGTGTTTTTCCACTCTTAATAGCTGATTACATTTGCGCGTCTTGATGTCGTGATTGCGATTCAAGATCTGTCAAATTGGGATATTAGAAGAGCGCTGTGATAGGAAGAGTTGATGTTAATTCAGACTTTATATAGAGAAACTTTGGCGATTGCAACAGTCGCTGATACATTTTTTATAAATGTATCCGTCACATGTTTTTTTTATTACCCGAAGGAAGAACAGTACAAACTTCAGATATCATGCCAAAATTTCACGATCGAGTCAAATCTCGCCCAAGTTTCGATAAGGATTCAAAGACAGGGATGTGACTTCTCGTGCAGAGTTTTCGCGTGAGACAAAAAAATCGTCGGTTATATTTAAACGTATATGTATATATATTTATGCGTACGTATATATAGATGCATGTTCTCTCATATTGCGATATATATAAGTATGTAATAACTTAGATACAAAGAGATGCATAAAGTAATTAGTATTACATATGGCATGGCATGAAGATAGCCAACGATCGTTTAATCGACACTATTGCGGCTCACGGCGACGCTAAAAAAACACGAACCAACGAAATCGGCACGTATACACATGTCCGAGGAAAAAAATTTGCATACGCATTTTACACATGTCGGAGATGTGCGAAACGTCGCAAGGGTGAGGTGGGATAAGTGTATAACAGGTCGTATCGGTTTCATTCTCTTTTCTTCTCGGTTGAAGTGGTGTGCAGACAAAATCGGGGACGGGGACAGGGCGCAAGAATGCGATACTCTCCAGGGGAAGACGTTTCTGGCTTCTGAGAAAGGCCCGGAGAATCTATGAATTAGTGTGTATGCGCAAACGGACGATGTCGTTCTCTCGTGTAACGATTGTTACTTTTTCTCGTTTTTCCTTTTCCCCTTTAGAACGCCGGCCAGAAGCCAAAAGCGCCGGGTTACATATCGAGAACTTAATCTAGGAAGGTCGGCGAGAACAGATATTGTGTTATTTGTTAGCACTTTTGACGGTGAGGCGGATTAAGAGTGAAAAGATTGAGGATTGGGGGTGATTTTTCGTATGCCATTCTGCATACTCGTGCTCTTTGCTCGTTCTTGCTCTCCTGTTACTCATTTTACTCTCGTCTATTCCATTCTCTGCGATCTCTTCGTCGCGTTTCTCTCCTATATTTTTGTTCCTTTTCTTCTCATTCTTTCTTTCGCACTCTCGTTCTCCCGTCTTTTGCTCTCGTTCGATATCGAGATATTATAGATTTTCGTTTCGTTTCGCGCCTTTCGATTCTCTTTCCAAGACGTCGTTCACTTTCACACTTTCTCTCTTTCTCTCTCTCTCTCTCTCTCTCTCTCTCTCTCTCTCTCTCTCTCTCTCTCTCTCTTTCACTCTTTCTCGCTCTTTCTTTTTTTTCGGACTTTTGCTTATTAGTACGTACCGGGGACGAAGCGTTCTACGGGTTTGTACTGATGGGGATACAGTTGCCTCGGTGAGTAGCCGTAAATCTCACGGTGCACGGGTAGATACCTAGAGAGAAGAAAACAGAAGAGTTAGTTTGTTCGAGAGAACAATTGTTTGATCCCTAACTGTTTTTCAAAACCACTATCGACATTGAAAATTTGTAGCGACATAAACTATGGATTTTTAGTACTGACAGCGAACGCAGTCTTTGTCATTCAGATAAAAATTACGTGGATCACAAGGAAAAAGTGACGCTACCTTGGCTATTCATCTCCAGAATATCGATAGTATCTTTAAAATATAAGAATGAGACTCTTTCTCAGAAAAGCAAGCCGGCTACTTGAACTTCATTTGTTTATTAAGTTATTCTTAACTTAATGAATCTAGCTGGTCCTCTTGTTTGACTGCTTTTATGATGACGAACGTACGATGAAAATGGATACAAAAATGGCAGGTATACACACCTGTATCCGGGAACGTTAATACGGTCGGCTGCGTGAATCGGGTTTTCGAAGATTGACTTTCCAAACGGCCACGAGGTGGAATGCAGCTCAGGAAATTCCGAGCGGAAAATGCTGCGAGGCCTGTGAGTGTGCTCGGGAGCTCTGATGTCGTCGGTGCCTGTTTTCGTTTCGTTTCGTTAAGAAATACGTCTAGCACTTGATTCGTCGGGAAAGTTCAAGATAGTTACATCTACTGTGAGGGTCAATCGTTTTCTATTTGAGTCATATCTTGCGAACCATGAAAGAAAAGATAAAAAGAAGAAAAGGAGCCTCTTTTTCTCACCTTTCAAGGCCCGTACGTAACTCTGCCAAAATTTCGCCTTCCTTGTGATAGGCTCGTTGCGTCCGATCATGTCAAGATTGCTTCTGAATCGCGCGTCCATTTTGTCACTCTACTGAACTGCTAACCACGCTCGTTCGCTGTGACAAAGAAAAAAGCAAAAAGGAAAATAAACGTCAGATAGATGCTGCGTATTCGTTAAATTCGCGGATCGAAGACACAAGATCGTGTTTGATTTTACGATGAGTGTGTGCGCGTGAGTTCTATCCGTTTAATATTCCATCAGAGAAATCGCTCTTCCTCGCGCAAAAGAATACCGTACACGTGGAAAAAGAATCGTTGAAATAATTATAAAACACATGAAGCAACAAATTTTAATTACGTGCTTTTCATCGCCGATCCTTTTGTTGATTTAGGATCGACGTGATTGGTGACAAAATTTTGCATCTTAATTAATTTGAAATTATTTTAATATAATTATAATTGATGCAATAACAATGTGTGTGGCAATGAAGACATCGTCTGATGAAACTCTGCGAGAAATGGAGCTTAAACAATTCCTATACTCTTGCACAAAAAGAGATTCTTCACAGGTAATTTTTTTCACATGATTCTTGTGCACGTGCACGGTACTTTTGAATTAGTAATTTGTGTGTTAAATTGCAAGAGAGTAAAAGAGATTAGCAAACAAGGAGCGTTATGCAATAATAATAATAGTAGCTCACGCAGAGAAGAAAGATTTGATTATTTTCCTCATCAAGCAGAATAAAAAGTACCGACTTGCTAATTTTTTGCGCCACAAGCCGAATGTAACTGAGCTTCTACGAGCAAGTCTTCTCGTTACTCATGCGATATAAGAAATTCCCGCAGCCTGAGGCGATTGCATAAGTAATTTTAAATTTAACGGCTTGCGTAGGTGCGGCAATGCTTTTTTAACCTTGCTTCGATAAACGGTGCGCCATTTCCGCGAGCCATTATCACGTGGCAGTCGTTTCGACGTCCCTTTATTTACGCGCGCACATAAAACAATCCTGGTCGGCGAATTCGTACATTACATGCAGTTTTATCGATCCTAATGTTTCGCTTGTTTTAATATCGAGAGCTTCTTCTTTTGGAGACCACTGTTTATAATATTAGTGTTTGTAAAAAAAAATGTAACATTCTCTGATGATAAAGATCAAACGAGATGATAAAGAAATGCTTACTTCAGTTAAAAAATTCAACTTGACACTCTGCTTGACGTCTTATGACATAATGTCATAACGCGTTGTTTTTAGAACGAATCAGTCATGTCGTGCTTGGAATTTTCAATTCGGAAACGTTCGTCATATAGCGGCGTCCTGTTTTCGATCGCGTGCAAAAGCAAAATTGGTCGTGGCGTTCTTTGTGTCGACCAATCGTAGCCTGTGACACAAACCGACGCGTCGTTTTTCTTTTTGTTGACGCAACAGACGACGCTAATTTTAGCGTCACGCATACTTCATAGTCGCCCTGGATCGCCGGAGCGTTTTCTCAGATACTCCCGTTTCATTCTCAGCGGGAGTGACTGAAGGTCGCGAAGACAAAATGAGAATGATTTGCCAGTTTTTTCCTCTTTTTTTTAATGAAGGGAGAAAAAATTAAATATATAAGGTTCGATTAGCGTTGTTATATTTATTGTTACAGCAGCGCGTCTAGTTAAGTTTCTCAAGTCGTATCGTAAATTGATAACAAAGTCATGAAACTCGTTTGATATAGTTACTTGAGGTTCAAGTTTGTGCCAGTTGATTTATCGTTTCTTGCAATTATCGTCTAACAAGTCGCAAACATAACGGCGACATCTAATTCATCCTCTACGAGAGAACAATGAGATCGGTTTGAAACCTGCAGAAAAATTTGACATTCTTTGAACGTTAAAAGTCTCCCGGGAAGAGAAATTGGACCGCGTGTATAACGTTCTCCAGTTTGGATTCTCGGCCAGGCAAAAAGGAAGGCGTCGCGGCGCCCACGAGAGCGCGACGCGTCGTGACGCAAGAGTCCCGGATTCGCGGTCGCTATATTTAGGCTGCCCGGGCCCCGGTCTGTTTTTAGTCGGTAACAGGTGGACGTCGAAGCTGCGCGCGAAAGGCGACGTAGTCGACACGAGTCTCCGTTTGACTTTGACCGATTTTCGCGAATCCCCATCGCAGACTCCCCATGGTAATGTCGCGGCGTTCCGATGATCATGACCTCGACTATGCCCCGCCATAGTCATGGCGATTTCAACGCCGGACCCCGACTCACGGTATAACTCGAATTTGCGATCTCAGTCGCGGTTACGTCCTGTCAAGCGTCCAATTGTCGGTCTCGATCCGCTCGACAGTTTACGCGCGTATATAGTTGTTACTTTAAACCCGGAAAATTACTTATATTTAGGAGGAGTTTTATTTTTTATAAATAAAGCGTTTAGGTTCTATATTAGCGAATTAGAAGAGTTAGAAATATATTTGGAGAAGATTAGAGGCTGAGAGATGCACATAGGCGAGACAATTCCGAGATAATCTGTGATTTCTTGTGATTTAACTTAACTTCTTTTGGCAGTAATTTTATAAATTACTGTTGTATAAATTTACTGTTAATTTATTAACAGTACCACAACGATGTGTGCGTGTATATATGTGTGTGTTATATATATATATATATATATATATATATATATATATATATATATATATATATATATATATAAAAGTAGACGTAATAGGAAAAATTCATCCAGAACTGCGAATCTCTCAATTTCAATTTTCCGACTCATTCGTAGCCGCTTCTATTAGATCGTATCGCAGTGCCGCGAGTATACGTTTCGTCCGAGAATATCTTGACCTTAAAATCGCACCCGCGTGGAAATGGGTTAAGCCACGAGGGCTTGACACGCTGACCAATTTGTGCGCATCTCCGCGAGACGTTACGAAAATCAGGAAAGTTTCACGAATCGAATATTAAGCGAGTAAAACGCCAAGCCAAATGTACGTATAAAAAATAAAAAACTTTACAATTACATTCAGTTTAATATGATCTAAAAAATATTTCACGAGAGCGTATAAAGATATAGTGTCGTAGAATTTCTTTTTCTTAAAATTTCTTGAAAAATTATTTTGAAAAAAATTTGTCAATTTATTGGTCTATAGAGTCTTTAAGATGTCTCTAAAAAAAAAGAGAAAAAAATTGCGACGAAAGAGCGTCGGAGACGCATTTTTGTCGCATGCGTAACGGAAATCAGGTCAACGCAGAAGCGCCGGAAGAAAAATAAAAACGAGAGATGTTGGAGGCGTTGGGGAGGTATGTGGAGGCACAGAGGAGGTAGAATACATCCCCATCTGAACACGCGTGTGTAATCTAGATGGCTTCTAAAAATATATATGGCGCGTCAAGCAAATTATCTGGGATGTAGGTCCAAAAACTGAAATACGACGCTCCTCTCCCACCCCCCGTAGAGTCGTTTGATATTTTGCGATAACTCGAGAGACCGCTTGATCGTCGTCGAGGCATTTTAATTGAAAATCCAGTAATATCACGTTTCTTTCGTGGACAAGAAAGAATAAAGTTTCGAGATTGCGCGTTTATTTGTGAAAGTAAGACAAATAAGTAAGTGTACATACTATATATCGTTTATTCTGTTGTGTCGATTTTCAGAATATATAAACGATAACAACTGTATTCTATCTCAGATTCATTGATCAGAATGCAAAGTTTGAAAATACAGTTTGTGTACAATTTCGTTGTCGCGTTTGGCGGGAATTTGCATACCACCGCGTATGCGTGTCACGAAAATACATCACTGGAGTCGAATAATCAGGAGGTTTGGCACTCTCTTGCCAACACGTGCAGGGTTTCAGCGACACTCCCGATGTGTTGCAACGGGATTACGGTTTACGACCGCCGCTGCGACTCTCTGCCACTTGTCGTCCTAGCATTCTTGGCGGAAAATTGTGCGGCTATCCTCGACCTCGTGAGAGAGCCAACTTTCACATAATACATGCGCGATTAAATAATGATGTATTGCATATTTCGTTGAAGTAGTATTTCATTTGGAATCAACTCGAGCAGCCTCTGTTACGTTTGAACATGGATTGTTTTACAAGTAGGAGCAACTCGAGAAACGTCCACGCTAATTAGGAATACATTTTGTGAAAATGAAGCAGTAAATTGTAAATGTAAATTACAAATGTAAAAATCACGCGAATTAACTGAATTAACTGAAATTACAAATTCATTCATTCACATCTATGTCGCTCGCTAAATACCCACGTATGCAGGAAGGCGAACGAGTCCCGAGACGGTTAGCAACGCGTTATAACGATTATTTTCGAGGCGAAAGTACGCATCAATGGCGTGTAGGAACGGTGGTGTTATAAACCCGGGCCGATGTTGAAGACTTGCCAGGCGGGCGAACGAATTTCCTAAGTGCAGCACGCTTCTTCGGATTCCGGCCTTGCGTGACTCGTTAAAAGCCCGTCCGCGGCATCCGCGTGACCGTCTATCCCGTGGGGTGGAATTCAAAGGAAAACTTTCGCACATCGCGATATTAATGCCGAAACTTTATCGGCATACCGAGGAGACTGAGACCACCGACCGAGAGATCAACGGCGGCATATTGAAACGCGAGAAGTGCGCGCTCGTTTGCTCTACGCCGGGAAGTAGTAATCACCCGTTCGCGTCAGACGCCGCCTGACCGTTTAAGTAGATACAGACGGCGACAGTGGACGGACGCCGTGCGCTCGTACTTTGTTACCTCGCTCTGACGCTTTACCGACTCGTGCATTTATTTTGTGCAAGCGATTGAGACAAAAGTACCAATACTAGGACACTACATATATATATATATATATATATATATATATATATATATATGTATGTATGTATATATAATAACACTTAATGATACTTAACTCTGAACATTCTCATTGTTTTGGGGTCTTAAAAAAATACGAATAATTATACTTTCTCAATATAGAGAAAATATATATATATATATTCTATGTTAAAAGTTTAAGTATTTATTATCTAAAAAGCAAAACAATTATAATTTTCAAAGTGCCAGTGTTATTAATGTCCAGGCATACAAGTGTTCAGAAATACAAAATTGTTGCGTTCGATTTACAGACTTCGTTTCAAGGCTATAGCTCATCTATCGAAAAGTAATCAAGGTCATTGATGATATCGCAGTGGGAAAGTCGCGGTGGAGAGAGACAAGAACACGGAAATTCGAATCGCGATCGCGCTCCTTAATCGATGAGTAAATTGTTTTGTGTTTTAACAGTAGAAGGAGAACGGCTATAACAGACGCGTCGGTCTTGGCGGCGAATAGCGTTAGGATCGTCTATTTTCAGCGTATGGTATAAATACGCCGGACCGTGTGCGCACTCGCGCACGTAACTTACGTAAGCTTTAAACAAATCCTTGCCAATTATTATAAACAATTCGCCACTGGCGATCGGCACGAGCTCCGATCGGGGATGCCGTCGACGATCGTCAACGTGGCGCGCGAGCCTCAAATTGGTATCACGATAAAAAGGAAACCGAGACGACGCGCTGGCCATTGCCAAGTCATTTTCACAGAATTAGAATTTGTCGGGGGCGGGCGCGAACTTGTGACGGCGGGAGAAGAGCAAGACTGATAAATTTCTGACGTTAACAAGGACTGCTGGTATACTCATCGTATACACCGAGAGAGAGAGAGAGAGAGAGAGAGAGAGAGAGAGAGAGAGAGAGAGAGAGATCTCAATCGTCCGACGAAGATGTCTAAAAATTTTTGCAGATCCTCGCGAATCGTTTCTGATCGGTACTACTTGTATCACGCTGTTCGAAAGAGATTGTGTTCATCTTGAATTATTTAGAAACGAGAGAATCTATATCTCCTGAAATTTGGGGCATTAAAGGGTTGCAAAAAATTATGCTCCGAATTATTATCGATATCATCGCGCTTGCGTTAAAATAAGGAATACTCATCATGAGTAATCTGATGTGAATTTTTGATCATTTAACCTCAACCATTTAAACGATATGACTGTGATAAAGTGAAAACAGTATTTTGCCATTATGTAGGTAAAACAGTCAACAAATATTGAGATAAGGTATCGACTCCTGCGAACTCTTGTACATTATGTTAGTGACGTTGATTAGTCCGCAAACACACACACCTGTGAGTATATATATAAAAAAAGAGGATGAAGGAATGACGGGGTGAGAATGCGGTTAACGCACGGGCGGTGAGATTAGTCGATGGAAGAGCGAGTTCCTACTAAATACATGTGTGGAGAGACGCAGCTCGGCAGCAGCGGAAGAGGGCCACGTCCGATTAGGCGTTCCTTTTTTCACTGCCGCACAAAGTGGACGATCGAGGACGAACGCATCCCGGGACCCGGGAGTATCGCGTGTGATCGGGGGTCGCGACCCTCGACCTTATCCACCCTTCGGCGCACTCACGATGTCGCTCGCGTTGTCCTTTCGTCACCGTTTCCCGATCCTCGTCGAGCTTACGTTCTCGTCTTCTCGTCTCGCAGCTAAAGCTTCTCTTCCTCACAATTTTTTTCTCGCCTTTCCTCTCTTTCTTTCACACTCCCCCTTCTCCCCCCTCTTTCTCTCTATCGAAAAAGAGAGAAGAGATTTTTGCGTCCAAAGAGAAAGAGAGAAAAGGAGATAGACAGAGGATGATGCAGGTCTTTACCTAAGTATTTCGGGCGACCGTTCGGTTCGGGGTTTGGACCTTAGACTGGGCGACTGCCGTCAAAAGTGTGGACTAGTATACCGCGGCTTGGTACACGGTAGCGCCGATCTGGCGACGGTATCCGGCAATAAGCCACGCGACATTTATGGCACAACCCCCGCTAGCGAGACGCGATTGGTGGAGATGCGTCGATCGTGGGTTGGAGGATGAGGAAAAGAGCGGAACGTGCGCGTCGTCGCAGCTTCCACCGCGGCCGCCCTTCGGGCGCTCTCTCTCTTTCTCTCTCTCTCTCTCCCCCTCCCTCTCCCTCTCCCTCTCCCTCTCCCTCCTCCCTCTCTCTGGCCCTCCCCTCCGATGTTTTCGCGCTTGGAAACTGTGCGCCCGGTTTGTAAACGGAATTTACGATGTCGATACACATACCAGAGACTCGTACTCTCCGATGATGTTGTAGATCCCTCGTATGCCCTGGGAATCGAGAGCGCATTCACGCGAATCCCAATGCGCAAAAACGCGCTGGCGTTATGTAATATTAATGTAACTCTCTCACACATACGCTTTTCACGAGAAAGTTCTTTCGAGAGGGCAGCTTCTCTCAGGTGTGTGGATTTTCTATGATTCGTCTCGATGAAATATTGGACATGTGCGTTACGTAGAAACTTCATTAATTTCCCCCTTTTACTTAACGGACGCTCCAAGTCAAAACTTAGTCATTCGTATTTTATTTGCGGACGCAAACCACTGCGAGGAACAGTATTATTTCTGTTCGGCCAAGCAATGACTCAACCCCGCGACGCGAAAGACAAATCCACGGTACCATAAAGCGCACATGTCTCGTTATCGCGCACAAGCTCCGGTTGTGTATTACGTCAAGCGCACAAAAGCGGAGCTTAATTTCCCGAATAGTAGCGCCAACGACGAATGCAAATCATTCTGACGGCCCTAATAATGCCGCGGTAAATCAACAGTTTATTTTTCTGCGACGAGCGTCGTAACGAGGTGTCGATACCTGCGCGTTCGCCAAAGTCGTGAAAGTCACTTCTCGTGGCGATTTACGAAAGCGAATCACGCCGGTCCTGCGCGTACAGCAATACGTATCGTTATTATAGAATTGCTCGCGCTAATTCTAAATATTACCGACTCACGCTAATTCTAAATATATTCCGTCGTATGTTTCTTCTTTATTGTTTTATATATATACCACTGCGTGATTTATAACGACTCGAGTATGATTCTAAAAACGCTGTCGGATTGCTCAAACGCTCTTGTGCGCTGCAATTTATATTTCTTTGTCAATGAACGCTTCTGGTATATTTTTGCACCCTTAAACCTTGAAGAATCCCGTGATTTAGTATCACTATAAATTTTATTGACATAAAAATGTATCTTTTTCTACAGAACAAAAGTGAAGTGTCATATTTTATTCATAAAAATATTTTTACCCTCCATAATATACACGTACCGAGTCGCCGTAGTTTTTGAATGACATTTGGTGTCAAATAGCGTGTCATCTCCAGCTGCATATGAAAGGCGGTATTAAACAAGTTTAACGTTGGCATATGATATTTCCTTCTTTAGCAAAGGCCATTAAACATATACTTTTATTTGAAAATCATCACCGAGCGATGATAAACCATGATGTTTACATCGTTTTGATAACTATTGGCTTTTAATCGTACGAAAGAGTATATTACAAAATCACTTTCATGGTTCAAGACGGTGTCATGTATTAATAATGAAAAATCAGCTGCATTTGTCCCAAGTATATGTCAGTGGATTCGCCAAAGATTTATCGAGCTGTCAGACTGACAGAGAGTGAAAGACAGATTTCCACTCGACTTCGTGTAAATATCTCTGTTTACAATAACGATCGTGACGTCAATTGACTTTTAAAACCTACGTTGTATGTAGCGAAGAGGGAATGCCACTTTGACGTGTGCAAAAATTTTCAAAGACAGTGTCGCCCACTAACAGCTATAATAAAAATGCATTATTAATGCAACAGATGCGTTAATAAATTTGGAGAAACAATTAGAAATGAGATAGTGAAATGGGATAGTGAAATGGGACAGTGAAATGGGACAGTGAAATGGGAAAATAAAATGGGATAGAAAAAAATGATTACAAAATATCGCGCGGCATATATCAAGAGAAAAAAGATATTTATAATCGCGTAAGATGCCAAAATACACACGCTCGCTCTACATACGGTATACCGTGTTATCAATTCAAGTGGGTATCCTGTGGATACTCCGCAATCGCACGACACAACGTGTGTGTGTGTGCGCGCACAAAGTGCGTCGCGTTCGCAAAGGGTCAAAGGGAGTTGGTTCAATACGCACAAGTATACTAACAAGGACGGTAGAAAGGTGATCTTTTCGTTTCTGGCACTCCTCGGTCATTCGCAGATCCGAATGCGCGCGCGGCCTCCTAGCACACATATACCGGGTGCACTAAATGCGACGCTATTTTTGTTGCCGCGTTCGCGCACCACGATCGGCCCGGCGATTCGCGACGGTGGGCACGGAGAACGCATTTATTTTCAATTCGGCCACGGCCAGACTACGATGATCGGCACCCAGGATGTGCGCTCTTACGGTGACACATGCGCCGACTATGCGCCTCCGAGTCGTATCGGTACATCCAGAGGTCAAGACCCGTCTCGTTTGATTGTGCATTCGATAAGCACAGGTGGTCGTCGCGAAGACGTCATTGTATCAAAGGGGGTAGGCCTGTCTAAAAAAGACGCATTTTCGTAAATTTTTCTCAACAAAACCTTCAGATTCTTATTGATAAATGATATTCAGTTATAAAGTTGATACGAAGAAGTTGTAATTTTTTCATCCAAAAATAATCAAAATAGAGGAGATATAACTCCTTTCTTTTGGAGGTGTTTCGCCACTACAGCTCGGATCATTTGAAATAAAAAATTGGGGAATATTTACTTGAGAGCAATCGTGTATTTTCTTCGTTATCTACGGACGCAACTATGGGCAAATGTCGCTTTCGAAAGTATTATTACGAGAGACGCAAGCTCGATTACTTCATCGCGCGCAAAGCGGTAATTCCGAAAAGCTCGTCTCTCGTCGAGTTAAACTTAGAATTCCACTTACATTACTTTCCTGCGCCCTGACGACGCGGTTTGGCGCACACTTCTCAAGCGTTGCGCGGGAGCGCGCTTAAAAATTGCGTAACATTTTGAGTGTTGTCTCGGTACTCGAAGCAATTACCGAGCGTGCGAAATTTCGGTCGTTTACTTTTTTCCGTTTTTCCTTCATCTAACTTGCGTCGCGTGACTAGCGGGAATGAGGAGGCGAGTGGGAAACGATACCGGGAAAGAGGGACTTTCGAATTGGCACGAACTATACGATAATCGACTCCAAGAGTGACGTCGGGTGGACTTGACACTTCCTAAACTAAAAAGATACGAAACTCGTTGGCAATCTAGGCAGAGGCAAAAGGCTTGCGAAAGGTGGTGAATGAGACTCGCGGTTAAAATTGTAGTCGTGACGAATAAGTTCGGCGCTTGGATCGCAGATTCTCCTCCATGGTAATAAAACAAACGTCGTATTCGTGCGTAATAGCGGCGATACGCGTCGGTTCCTAAATTTAAGCCCGCACTACCGCATCGAGATATGTGCCGGATGCGACGTGAGCACAACTCCCACGTCAGTGTTGGTATTAATCGTTAGCTGACTGAAGTAATCGACAAATCAATCATCAAAATTAATAATCAGTCGTTACATATGAAATCATAAATAACGTGATCGATTCACCAAATCAATTCTTAATCAAACTTTGATATTTTGTTGCATCGATTAATTTCATCAATCGATTAAATTATTTGTGACTACACATGATGATTGATTTTTATTGTTGATTTATTCATTATTTTAGTCGAAGAAGATTTTAGTTTAGTTAATGTCCACACAGTTCTAATTGACGTAATTGAGTTACGAAACAATAAGGAGTTTCAGTGTTAGGATATCAGTCTTATCAATGTCCAGTCATTGTGATGCTTTTACCCTAGAAAGAGGTACATCTATTCACGTTTTTCTTATTGTGTCCTACACAAAGAACTGTACGAGAATCGCGTGTAAAGCGAAAGGATTCGCCATTTTTGGCGTTTGTTTTTCGGTGGTCGCCGGATATATATATATACACACACACACACACACACACACACACACACACACACACACATGTCATGCTGGATGTCGTCGAGATGCGCGAAAATCAATATGAGGCGCAGCGCTCGTAAAGCCCGTCGGGAGGACGCTGATCCCCGGCTAAATTGAAACTTATGAGTTTTCCAGTCCGGGGGCCCTCCGGCACCACTTCTTACGTCTCGCCCGCCATTCTTCTTCGCCGTTAAGGAGACCTCGTCTCCTTGGTAACTGATACGCCTTATTAGCTGCTCTCCTCACCTTACGAGCCTCGCGAGGATCATGCGCCCACCGGCTCCTTGCGCTCACCGGTCCTGAATTTCTCTTGCGCAGTGACCTGCCTCGCGTTCCAACGCCGCCAACGCCACAAGCGCCGCGTTTGCCAAGTGATTTGCCTTTTCCGAGTTTTCTGCATGGCACTTGATGCGAGTAATTATCGTCTTTGACCTCGAATGCTCGTTGAAGTATCGTGGCATTGGAATCGACCGGCGTATATCCATCAAATTGTCCATTGAAAGATATTTAGGCGATTTGGGTGGGCTACCGTCCAACCGTCGGACTCATTCACGGAGATTCCGTGGTGGCCGCAGTACCATTATGCGCCCTATTCGACTATTTCACGACCACATGGGCCAGCGACAATGCCGCGCGGCCCGACAATACGCGGAAAATACAAATATTTTGGACAGGCGCGATTTCACGCGACAACGCCTCCCTATGCGTCCCGTTCGATAGACGCAAGAGAGAAGCAAAGGATCTCCTCTCGAATACGTGTAACGATAGTTGAGAAGGTATATGAATACCTATGAATTTGTCGACGCTCTTCTCGCG